AATATACTACAGAATACATAAGGAATTACTATTTTTTATATAGAATATCAATTTATGTAATTCTATATTTAATAATACACTTCATAATATACAGATGTATATGGGGCAAAATATGATCAATACTGCGTGCATGTGTATATATACACACACTTCTTTGTATACATGTGATTTCTATGCAATACATATATTCACATTTATATGAGAACATGTATGTGCAATGCATGTACTCCTTTAAATGGAATATACTACCAATAACTATACCACATTACCACAGACTAATGGGAAAGAAGAAAATTCTGTTTTGAAACATACAAAATTATTTACCATCTATGTGTAATGGTTATAAAATACAATATTTCAAAACCATCTTGACAAATTTATTACTTATTTGGATGTCAAACTTTAAACATGACCTGTAAGTCCAGAACAAGGAAAGAAAAGAAGCAAAGGCCCCTAAAGAACAGTCTGTTCTCCCATGTAACAGTCCATCTTGTTTCTTCACTTATTAAAACAAGGTGTGGAACACGTGAAGAAAACAAGAAATGAAGAACAGCTTGTTATTCTGTTTGACTCACTTCAATTTATCCATGCTCAGTATTCACTTTACTGCCTCAACTCACACATTCTTGTGTTGATTGATTTCCTTCTATCTGATATCTTGGCCCCTAGATGGTGATGTACTACAGCATCTGTGGCACAGAACAATAACAAATAGTTAGACATTCACAAAACACAGCAGGAAATATAACAATATCCAAAATATCTACCATGGGTATTGCTAGGCACCTTTTACTGGGGCCCCGAGTTAGGATAGCAGTATAAAGCATTTTGGGCACCTGAAAAAAATAATGATATCTGTTTACATGTATGCTATATCTAGAATATTTTTACCACTTTACCTTGAGGAAGTGAATATCCATCCATCATTATATCCAATCGAAGCCAGCAGACTCCATTGACAAAAGGCATAATTTTACCTTGCAGAAGAGTTGTTGGTGTAAGTACGTCATATAATCCCTCTTCAAAATATCCAAACTATACCTTTACCTTCACTATCCCTGCTGCAAAATCAGCTGAATTAAACAAGCATCAGATAGTTAGCACGAACATCTAAAACAAAGCAAAAAAACAAGATTGTTAACCACCATCTTATATGCAGTATATACAGTGGCAATCTAAATTAGAGAAGCTACGAACATCAAGGTGATGAAAGCCCAGGCCAGAGTCCTGATCTGAACCCTATCAAGAAACTCTGGCAAGTAATTGGCGACAAACAAGCCCACTATAGTCACCAAATTGTGGAAGAAACTGGAAGACGCATTGGAAGGGCATTGTGAGAAATTGGTTATGTCCTGTGGGTGCTAATCCGCCAGTCAATGAAAGCAACGGCCTCTATAAATTATACACACATACCCAGTATTTACCATAATTTGTAACACATACATATGTATGTGTACATATATATAATGTACATTAAGATATATATTTTATATACTCATATTCCATGTATGAGAAGCACCAATTCCTTATGAATTCTGCACTATATTGTAATATATTGATTGTTACATAACACAATATATTATTCTGTATATTTTCCAACATTTTTAAGACATCTGTTTTGTTCCGTTGATATTTAACAGTATCACTTAGTATTAACTTCAATAAATCTTGTAAATTAGCCAGTAAATTAGAGCACTAAATAATTTCATATATTGACAGTTCATATGCAGGGGAATATATATTTTTTGCAGTTACTGGAAAATATAAGCACTAGTTTCCCATTAGTAACCACTGATGCCTTTGGAGATGTACAGTTGAAACCAACCGTTTACATACACGGTATAAAAAGACACATACCCTTTTTTTCTTACTGTCTGACATATAATCAGACAATCTTTTCCTGTTTTAGGTCAGTTAGGATTAACAAAATCATTTCTACTTCCTAAATGTCAGAATAAGGAGAGAGAACATTTTAAGAGAATTTTTTTATTACTTTCTTCAAAGTGAAAAGTTTACATACACTAAGGTTACTATGCCTTTAAACAGTTCGGGAAAGCCCAAATGATGATGTCATGGCTTTGGAAGCTTCTGATAGGTTAATTGACATCACTCGAGTTAATTGAAGGCACACCTGTGGATGTATTTTACAATTTCCTGATGGCTGAAGGTGCCACGTTCATCTGTGGAAACACTTATACGCAAGTATACACACCATGGGAATGTCCAGCTATCATTCTGCTCAGGAAGGAGACAGGTTCTGTGTCCCATAGATGAACATGTTTTGATGCGAAATGTGTGTATCAACCCCAGAGAAAAAGCAAAAGACTTTGTGAAGATGTTGGCTGAAGCTGGAAAGAGAGTGTCCTTATCCACAGTGAAACAAGTCCTGTACTGACATGCGCTGAAAGGCCACTCAGCATAAAAAAAACAGATTACAGTTTGCAAATGCACACTGGGTCATTTTATCAGTCCTGTGGTCTGATAAAACTAAAATTGAACTGTTTGGCCATAATAACTATCGTTACATTTGGAGAAAAAAGGGGGAAGCTTGCAAGCCTGAGAACAGCATGCCAACTGTGGAATACGGGGCCGGCAGCACCATGTTGTGGGGGTGTTTTGCTGCAGGAGGGACTGGTGCACTTCACAAAAATTGTGGGCAGAGCTGAAGAGACGTGTGCGAGCAAGGTGGCCTACAAAACTGACTCAGTTACACCAGTTCTGTCAGGAAGAATGGACCAAAATTCCAGCAAACTATTGTAAATAGTTTATGTAAATTCAGACTTTGTAAAATAATTCACTGCTTGGGTAGTAATTTTTCTAGCTCCTTTACTGATATTGTGAGGTTGTCGAGTACTTTTACTCCTACTTGAGTTAACGGTACTTTTACTTGAGTACAGATTTTGGCTACCCTACCCACCTCTGTTATGTCACCCAGACAATGTGTCTGCAAAGTTTGCAAAAGATCTGTCAAATACTTTTCAAATGATCTCGTTCACAAGAGAGTGTCTGTAGTCTTGTCTGGGAGATACAGTTAGGACTTCAGTGGACTCAGGGGTAAAGACTGATTTTAAATAAGGGAGGTTCTGTTTAGGGTAATGGCTTGGGGTCAGGAAAGGTAAATGTAAAAATGGGTATGGGGTTTGGATTAGGGTAAAGTCAGGTTGGGATTTAAAAGGGGGGGGGGGGCTTATACCATACAATGCTTAAAAAATGATTGAGCCCCAATATTTTCACATGTTTTACTGTGTATGTGCAAAACTGAGTCAATAGTGCTGTATTCTTATTTTAAAATGTTTAGGTGTTTTTTTTAATCTTATTCATATTGAATGCTTTGTTTAACCTGTGTACATTTCATTACAGTGTGTGCACATTATAATCTAAACCACATTCTGTGTCTCTGTAGAAATGTTATCCCAAATGGGGAAGTAAAAACAGATGAGTTGTGATTTAATTAGACTCTTGAATGTACGTTTTAGATGGAAGCTAGATCTGTGAATATGTGGGTTTGAAGAATATTTACGTTTTCAAATTACTGAGCCTGCCATAAAATATTCAAGAAGTTTCCAATTTTAATGCATGTGTAGTAAGTATTGTCTGCATTTTAAAAATGAAATGTTTTCCCAGTCTGCCATGCATAGGTCAGATAATTTTTTTAGTCTCCTGTTAAACTTACTTCTAACAGTTGTAATAGACGCTCAACAGATTGGTTAGGGTCCAGATGTTGTGCAAAATACACATTGTACATCATTGTCACACAAAATGGCAAAGGTTCAGACAAAAAACCTTTTCTAGAATTTTTCAGGAAGAAGGACATCTTTGAAATGGTTTGGTAATTATTTCAACCTTAGGATCTAGGTTCTGGTAATGGGAAGAGGTTGGTACTGTTGTCAAAAATATTCGCCTGGGACAGGGCCATGCAGAGACTTTCCATGGGGCAGATACTTGACTGAGGGGCGGATCACACTCAGTAGATTTTACCCATGTTTCTGAGTTCCCCTCACAAACCGAAACAAAATTGTGGTTTGCTAAATCGGTGATCATCAGTGAATGAAAAAAGGCACTCAGGTTTCGTTTAGAGTGTAACAAACCTACGGTAACTGACACACTCACTTTGATCTGTTTCCGGAACAGAAAATCCAAGCTAACAAATCAAGATGACTTCCTAAACCGACTTTCTGGAATAACCCCTTAAACAGACGAAGAGCACGATACCATTTGTCCGTAACCACATAGCTCATGGCGAAATACCATTTAATAGTGGTACAGCTCTTAGGATTAAAAGAGTAGGTAGGATTTTTAGTGTTCTCACACACAGAACAAAACTAAGTTAGCATGCTGAACAATATAAATGCTGTGAGGGTATAATTATCACATTCCGTTATAGCAGTGCCGACCACTCATGCTCAGATGGTGTGTAGAAGATCACGGCTTAAGAAAGATTAGCCCTGCTCAGACGGCATATATACATGACTACTTTAGTGGACAACACCCTCCTGGGTTTCATCTTACACAGAACAGAGTTTGCACGGCTTGCAGGCTGGGAAATTTACTTTTGGACCCCTGCAAAAGGCAAAACTTTCACAGTAGACTGTTATTTTCAAGACTGCTTCACCCCGCCAGCATCATGCCAGTCTGTGTCTAATTAATGATAACCAGCTGTCTTTAATCAGAACCAAGAGCACTTACCATAAGAGGCAGCTAGTCTGAAAACAAAGGAGAGAGAATTCTGGGTAGCTAAATGTTGGCAATCCACTAGTATTTAGGTTAAGGATCTTTTTAGTCATTTTATTTTCTTTAAGCTGTATTGTGTTCTTTGAAAGCCTCATTTTGTGGAACCCTACTATACTGTCCTCTGCTGTTGTATGTTCCTTTGGTTTTATAGATTACAGGGTATTTTAAAGAAAAAGACACCTAACCTGGAGCAAAGGAAAATTAATTTTTTGGTGTCCTTTGATGCTTCAGCAAGTCTTCAGACTTGGATAGAAAAAGCTACAAAGACATCTGATCATATTTTAAGCACTTAAGGAAAAAATATTTATTTATCCTATGAAAAACAAACTATACAGAGAAAACATCAGTGAAACGTGAAATATTTATAGCAAACAGATGTAAAGTAAAACAAAATCAATGTAATACAACACCGCATGAGATAACTCTGACAACAGTTCATATTAAAAAAAAAAAAATTTAAACATACACCATCTTCTAAATCCACTGCATTTTAATAGTTCATTCCAGCCTTCATTTGCAAAGTGCAGAAATCTGTGTGAGGACAATGATAAAGCCTGATGAGCAGGAATCTTCACTCATATGTAACTATACAATTAATTATGATAAATTAGGAAGAGTCACAATGAAATAGCTACAAATTATCCAATAAATGCTAGGTAAGTGTGCCAAGAACATAACACAAAATAAATTAATTAATTTGGAGAAAGACTGAGTATCAGTGCTTAGAGTTTGCAGCTAAAATTTTCCTGGGAGGTTAAATTTCTCTATAGGTGCAATGATTGAGATCAAAGTGATACAGTTTAAAAAATGCAATGTTAAGCCCTACAATGAACAAGAAACCAATAACTATCACAAAATACGGTTATGGAAAAGTTCTTTTAAAAATACAAAGCCCACGCTTGTTTTAAGGGAAAGTGAAACAGAAACAAGATCACACTGCTCCTCAACAGGCCGGTTTGTGGATTCACTCACTAAACCAGAGCAAAGATGCTTTCTTGTTAAAACACAAGGACACATCCTCCACACTTTATCGGTTGTATGCTTGTTAGGCTACAAAGAAAGAAACATTAACAAAAAAAATCATAATACAATGGCAGCAAATTGTCCACAAAAGGTAGAGCGTACACCTACAATGACTGTAGACAGTACAATGACTGTAGACTGTAGTACACTGCAGGAAACAACTGCACAGGTGGAAACATAAAAAGCAAGACTTGCAGTATTCCAGTTTCTTCCAGAAAAATATCAAGCACTAGAAATACACATATATATAAATCTGTATCTTCAACAATATAAATTATAAAATAGTTGAAACCTGTTTTCCCTGCCATTCCAGTGTAACCCCAAGCCCCTGAATATGCACACAGCTGTGGCCTAGGCACCTTAACTGCTGTCTGCAGGGGGGAATAGGAGACATGATGCACACAGTCTGTGGGGTTTACAAAAGCCTGAGGCTTGAAAAACAGTAGAAGGCCAAATGGTGGCATTTTAGGAGCTGGAAATGGACCCATTAGAAGTCCCATCCCCTCCAAGGAAGAATGACCTGGACCGGAAGACTTGAGAAACTAATCCTGAACTTTTCAGCAGAACTCAGGAAACAGCAGAATATGGAGTTTTTATAACGAAGCTTTCGTGGTTTATTCTTGTGTTTTAAAGACATACTATTTCCACTAAAAGAAAAAGTTTTAAAACAAGATGGATGCTGCGGCTCTACTAATGATTGTTTACTTGAATTCATATTCAAGGCTGGTTTGTTACCTTTTGAGTTTGGACATGTTAAGTTGACACAGGTCATATTGAAAGTCTACATGCCGTTTTTAAAATTTCAGGTTTGATACAAAAAGATAACTCTCTTTCAATCAACATGAATTCAGGTGAATCTGATCAGTCCCAAGTAAAATCAGCTATTCTTCTGAAAATAATAATAATAATGTTCAAATGATCTTCCTGTCAATATAAGCATGTCTGTCAACGTGTGCTAGCTTACCCATTTCAAAAGTGTTCCTATAGTCACCACATATTTGTAGCAACCATCCAATAGATCCATGTATTTTTGACTTGACTACTAGCACACATCAAATGGGTAACCAATACCTCAGGTCGGGTCAGGGAGCATGTACTGGGAAAGCGCACCCACCACATGACGAAACACCTCAGTTGGTGACCCCCCAGGCCAACACGCGGTCCAATCCGACCTTTCGGAAATGGCCATTTATCTGCCGCAGTCAGGTGTTACGTGGGTGTTCCCTTGGCCTGGTCCAGCCACTCAGGTCCTCAGCAATGAGCTGGATGACCCTCAGGGAATCTCGCCACATGGCGTAGTGCCGTAACTGACGCTCCCTCACAATGCAGGTAATGTGCCTCATTCGGGACTCCCTGAGCAACTGCTCGTTCGACACAAAGTCAAACCAGCGGTACCCAAGAATTCTCCAAAGAGACACAACACCAAGAGTCCAGTCTATGTATCAGGTCAATGGATCCATCCATGTCTTGCCGCCATACAGCAAATGAATTAACCAAGTGAGCTGAAATTTAAGGAATACATGGAATGGCCGAGGTGCCCCAGAGGAGAGGTTTGGAGACTGAAGCTGTGCTCTTCTGGCCAACAAGACATCTTACTTTTTGGAGAACAGAAGAAAACCTTCTTCTTCTTGTGTTATGTAATTTGCAGATGTTCCGATGTTAAATTATATTTTTTGTTTTTAGTAAATATACACTTAGTGCCCAGGTGTATTACTTCAAACATTCCCTTTGACTGCCTAAGACTTTTACACAGTGCAGTATATACAGTTAAGAGGGCAAGGTCAAGCCATTCATCCAGCTGGTTAAGGGCCTTGATTAAAGGCCAAATGGAGCTGTGACTATTCTGCCAAGGCTGGGGTGTGAACCAGTGACCTTCTGATCACAGGCCATACACTGCCCCCTGCCCTTCACGATTACCGCAAAGTGTCCATGGTTGTTCAATACAGAGATGATAACCAGGCAAAAGGAACTGACAAAAGATTAATGGTATTCTTACTGATGAATAATATGGATCAGATGTGGGATATAAAACAGCCACTAAATGATTACGTCTTGGATCACTATAAAAGTAATTAAGAAGTAGAGGAAATGCAGCACTGACAGTAGACTGCAAAGATCAAGCCATCCCTCCAAAGCTGACGGCAGTGCAGGGTAGGGAGAATGCTATCGACTAGGCTGAGGGGCTTACAGCAGAAGCTGCAGTGATAGATAGGTATCGAAGTAACTGGCCATACACCACAAATCACAGCAATTTCACATTCTCCACAAGACTAAGCTGTGGGGTAGGATGAAGATGAGTCCACATAAGCGTTGAGAGACTCTGATGTCTTTGTGCATGAAATTAACTTTGGTCTCATCAGACCGTTAGGCAACTTAATTCCAAAAGTTGTTTGACTAACACCAATATAGCTCCTCAAACAGAGAACATGGCAGCATTATGCTGTGGAACTGCTTTTCTTTACGAGACAGGACCTCAAAAACACACTCACAAAACAACAATTTCCCTCTGCAAGGAAGCTGAATTTCACTTTTCAACACAACCTGAATCACACAGCAAACTCGGCCTTAAAAGGAAGATAAAAGGTCTGTAAAGGGTCCAGCTAGGACTCTGATCTCAAGCCTACAGAACATTAGAAGAGATGCCCTTACAATTTGATTGTGCGCTTTTGCAAAAAACAGGGATATAATTGCAAAATTCAGTCTAATTTGAAAGAGCCTTATCCAAGCACAAACACTGATATATTCAAATGGCTCATCGGCAAAATATGAATGAGTGTACAAGCGTAAATAACTAAGGCCCCATTTGCACTTGCTTTTAAAATGCATCCTGGGCAATCAGATGGCACAGAGACGGCACTAAATACAAGCGTAAACGACCACTAAGACGCATTGTGACCCAACCACGCAAACCATTTGCCAAGGAGGTGTGGGATGCATTTGACCACTCCTCTTTTGTAGTGTAAACATTAATGCGTCCTAAAGTACCCCTGACAAGGACGTAACTGTGTGCAGGGCAATAACTAAATCTGAACATTTTGTGCATGACCGGCACAAGTATAAATGGCGATGCGTCTCAGCTGTCGATTTATGATCCAACTGCCCGAGATGTGTTTTAGAACAAAGTGTGAATAGGGCCTAAGTGTTGTATTAGCTAAGTTAAAGGCCTTAAAGGTAAAAATGTTCTGTGATTCATCTATTTTAGCTAATACAAACATAAAAAGGCTGATTTCGGTGTGCACACTTTTGACTGCTACTGTAAACTTGAGAATCCACATACAAGTGGAAAAACAGGGCAAGAGAGATCTCTGTAAACAATTACCATCTATCTTGCAAGTCCTTCATAGCTGTTAGTTTAACAGCCATAAAAACCATCTGTCAAGATGGGGAAACTCCGAGGTCATAAAAGCAGAAACAGAGGCAACAGCATGGCCAGCAAACATGGGCAGAGTACGGGTGCAGTGCCTGGGAGGGTGCAGGATGCATCAGTGTAGCCACTGTAACACTGGCAGCGGAATTTTGCACGGTACAGGTCCTCCTCCTCAGGACTGAGATGGCCCTCCACTTTCAGGCTGCCATCCCTCTGCAGGATGGTGTGGTTACGGGGATCGAGGTGCAGGTAGACGTCGGTGTTAGGATGCCGCCGCAGACAGCGGCCACGCGAGCCGCAGAGCACCCTGCTACAGTGCTCTGCCGCAGTGGTGACGTTGAGCAGGTACCTTGCCAGAGATTCTTGCAGGTACCTGTTCAGACTGGTGCAGCTCTCCTGCAGAAGAGTGCACACGCGCGTGCGCACACACACACACACACACACACACACACACACACACACAAACACGTAATACAGCATGATGCAAGTTTCTATCCAATGTATACATTCGGTTGCAGTGATCATAAACTACACAGAGGACATCAATGTAACCTATATGGCCAAATGTATGTGGACATCCCTATTACTTACAGGGATTGGCTAACACCCATTGCAGACACAGCAGTATAATTAAGCACGTGACCATGCAGTCTCCAGCAGAATGGCTGGTTGCACAGAAGATTTTAGTGACTTTCAATTTGGCAACATGGTAGAATGCCAAATATCTACCTTGGTCAATTGCAGATGAAGAGGAACTACAGTGGCAAAGTAGCAGAAAAGAAACATGATCACCTAGCATCAATACCACAATGGAAGAAAATCCAATAGCAATATTCCAGCATCTAAGCCTTCCCAAAATAGTAGAGGCTATTACAGCAACAAAGAGAGGACTAACGCTATTACCTTCGTTTCTGTAATGAGATGTTGGGCAAACATTAGGCCATATTGTGTATGTGCAATACTGACATGTTACGTCCCCATTTTGGTCTAAAATCTGAGAAGTATTGTTCATTTTTAAAGGTTTCCAAAATGAGTTGTGATGAGAAAGACATCAGCATATACAAACTGGGATGAAACTTACCTTGGTACTGGCGTAAGTAGCCTCTCCCCAGAAGATGATACCTGCAGCTCCGAGGGCCACACTCTCTCCAATAGTGGAAACCAGATCAGTCTGCAAAAATAATGTAAGCACAACATCCGTCTGCAAAACTTTCAAAATAAACACACAAAGGGTCAGAACAAGTATCAGAAGCAGAGCTACAGCCTTGACTCCTAGTGTAATAAGCTGACAGTTTGAATTTATCGTTTTTCCATGGTAGGGAGTCTGAGTGGATGAATGACCTTTCCTCTCTTCCTACTCCACCTTATGTGAAACCATTAAGGGGCTCCAAATACGCTGCTACAACCCAGCATCCAGGGGCATTCTGAACAAAGCCAAAGTTAAACAATGGTAATGATGTGCACCAATAGGGGGTGGCGGCGACAGGAACAGGAAAGGCCTGCTGACAGCGATAAAGATATTACTTTTTAAATTTTGCTTTCTCATTCCATGAGTGTTACACACACACAGACACACACAGCTTTCCCTACATGCAGCACTTCAGTAAATCATTTCTGATCAACACCCCTGAGTTCATTCATCAAGACAATATGTCCAGACACCTTCCAGATACAGGTCTTAACAAATGGTCGATCTTTACTAGAGGGGAAAAAAAGGTAATTTCATTAGTAAAAAGTCATTTTAATTGATTTCTTCATTCTGCAAAAGTTTAAACATCCCAGGATGTTATAGTGGGCTTAAATAATATGTAGATTTTACTGTATGTCTATAACACGGCATTATACTTAATAAACACTTGTGAAAATGTGCCACACAAAGTCATGATAAATGCAGCTATAAATGCATTTTTAGCTAACACAAAGCATTAAAACACAAAAATCACAGTGTGGCAGGAAGCCTCACCTCTGTCAGCAGATCCAACACATTTATGTAGGTAGGTCGTGTGTAGACGAAGACTGGGCGTGCCAGCCCATCTCCAGCTGAAGCCAGTCTCATGGCTTCTTTCACTCGGTTGCGGACAAACTGACGACCAAAAGAGGTCGAGCGCAAGACTTTTCCCATGTAAATGGAGGGGAATAGGGCTGTACTCTCTGTCCACAGCCATTCCAGGTGGTCATTTCGTGTCATCTCCACATCAGGACAGCGCCCTGTGTAGTTCTCCAGACTGTTCTTGTAGTCATGGTTGTAGCAGTCTGGGAAGAGGTAGAAGCCCCATAGCTGTTCAGGCCGCAAGGTTTTCGCCAGCCTCAGGGTCTCAAGCATAAACTTCCTGGCTGACGCCTCAAACTCTTGCTGGGCCATTTTGTTCACCTTGTCCATGGGCCACGTAGAATTCTTCTCAGCAACAAGACGACGGGACAGGTTCCGGTATATATCTTTAGTATCCCAGTTCCGAATCCAAAGAGGTCGCCACTCCTCCCAGTCGATGACCGCCAAGCCTCGGGCTGTAGGGTCACGGATGTACTTGTTTACCCCTTCTGGCATCTTCATCAGGTGCTGATTTAAACTGGCTAACTGGGGAAGTCCATCATTCACCCTCTTCACATCAGAACCTTCCTTTTCTAAGTAGGGGTATAACCCAAGCCTGTTTTTATAAAAAATAGTGAGGTTCTGCCTAACAAAACCCTCATTCGGTGATGCCACAATTTCAAACAGGTCCAACTTAAGCTGAACTTTATGGCGAGGGAAGCAGTCTTCTGTTGGGGCATTCCAGGCCAGAAGAACAGGCTTCTTGGAGAGCAGAGGCCATCTGGTGGGCTTCGGCTCCTGGGCCAGGCAGCTGAGCACCAGAGGTAACAAAAGCCACGGTCTCCACACAGGCACAGACAACCTACAGCAACACATTTCTTCTTTGGCGGAGTAGTTTTGTAGCAGTTATGCCTCTCTTCCTCGCAGGTTCACTATGAAAGAAAACCAAAGTGTTTTATAAGATTAAAGTTCAAATAAAGCAATAGAGCCGAAACGTTCAAATTTCCAATGACAATTAAAACGAGACGCTGCATTTTTTTACTTAGTGGTCTTTTCATAAGTAAAACGTCTGTATGCATTTCATTGTAAAATGTCTGCATACGCACGTTCACGTACAAATGCGAAATACTATGGTTTCGCAAGTTTTCGCAACATTTCTTATTAGCAGCCTCGTAGTAGTGAGACACCAACCTGCAACACAGTATACTTCACCTTGATCGTAAAAGTGTTGCGATCCTCTTTAAAGCCAGGGTAAATCACTAATCCAGGAAAAGTTTAAGAAGCATTCCCGAATGAAGGTAGCCCAGTTTCACAATCACCATTAGAATTCTCCAACCATTAATAAATAGCGCACACTTCATTCAGCTCTCTTCCGTTAACAGCAGTTTCACCCCATGTCCATGTGATTCTTTTTCCCCCCCCTAAAACTTTACCACGCGTTTCAACGCCATTTCACCACGTTTCGTTCCTTGCAGAAGGACCCCGACTCTGCTCTCCAGATTTTTCTCTCAAGCGGCAATTAAACATGTGGAAGCCAAATCCCGGCACGTTCCAAACCGCTGAAGGGAACCATTTCAAGAGGTGGCCGTCGCTATTTTTAGAGTCCCTTTATTTTGAAATAGAAAAAAAACACTAACCAACTGAAGTAATGTTGAGGAAAAAGTTTTGTTTTGTTTTACTTTTTTACCAGCGTCAACGAAAACCCCTTCTGAACGTGTCAATAGTTCAGTCCACAAATGTGTCGAAAGCTCGGCTACACATACATGGTATATATGAATTAAAGAACTCCGTTCTTATTTATAGCACACTACTTTAATGGCAAAGAAATCTGTAAAGTTCACGATTACTTACTATTATATTCCCAAATTACGAAAAGTCAAATAGATTTGCAGTGCAATATGATGAATGTTGTGCACATTATCCCAACTGCGCTTAGTATAAGTGGTGTTGCTTATTTATATATTTTTTCAATTGACAATGAAATGTAGTAGCTAATAGCCGTAACAGAGTGATATGGAAACTACATTGACGTCCTTTAGCTCCGAATAAATTGCATGTTTGCATTTCCTTAACGAGAATACTGTAATAAACCTAAAGTAGCGTCAGAGGCTATAAGGGAGATCACCACAGGACGTCAGCTCCAATCACAAAAATAGGTTTTATTAAATACAATTCAATGCAGCGACCCATCGGGTCGGGTCTGGGTTCACAAAGAGTTCGGCACGACTATCTCCCCGTAGCAAACCAGCCCTTCCAAGTGGGTATGGACACACGTTACCACACAGTGAATCTCACACCATGCACCATCCCAGTTAGAGCACAGCACACCAATAGCACTGCAATGCACAATAAATCGCACACTTCTGGCACAGACAGGAGATACGTGAGCAGTACCTCCTCTAATCCGCTAACGGGCTACGCCGCTTACTTAAAATACACGAACAAAACACACAAAACAGGGACAAGGTTAAAACATAGACCCTTCCCCGGGGTCGGAGCTTTCACCCTAGCTAATCTTTTGCAGAAACACTCAGAGAGGGAAGTCCAACGCCCATCCGGCACCATTAGGACTCCGCTTCTCGCATCTACCAAACACCCCTAGCCACAAAACGGCCATGCACTCATACCCCCCGTACTAACTGTCGTCGCCCTACCACACCGGAACCTGACCCCACAGCCCGCTATCTAGCTTCACCGCCGGCAGCCCTAAACGGCCTGCGAGCGGCACCCAACTCCCCGAACCCCCGACTGCTATAGGTTTGCCAAAGTATTTCTGATTAAGCCTCCCCCTGCATTATCCATTCTGCATCTTTTAATACCGCACCCCTGACAGCCCAGGTGTAGCCACTTAATTAACCACTACCTTCCACACAAATCCCTCCCC